ACATCATTATCTACCCACATGATCGGGGCAACATTTGTGTGGTCATGCCTGACTCTTCTCTGTCTGCCATAGGCCCATCCAATACATAGGAAGGCCCAGCCGTTGACCTTCCAAACACGTCCTACGCAGTGTCTCTCTCCTTCTCCCCTCCCTGCTGCCCCCCACCCTGGCCACCCCTTGCTCACCTGGAACAGAGCAGCCTCTTCCTCCCTGCTCTCCCTGCTTCTTCTCTTCCCACCCCCCAGTCCATTCTTGACAGAGCAGCCAGAATGCATCAGATGTGAATCAACACATGCCAGTCCCCTGCTCAGAACCCTCTGGGGGCTGCACATCCTACCTACAGTTAAGCCTAAAGGACTCACAGCACAGCTCCCTCGCTCTGTTCTCCTGCCTTCCTCTCTGGCTCCCCACCCTCACCCCACCTGCTCCTGGGACACTGGCCTTTCTCCAGTATGCCGAGCCTTTGAGTCTGCGCACCCTCTGCCAGGAGTGCCCGTGCCCCAGGCGTCCTGTCGCTCCCCATCCCCTGCCCTCTGGAAGGTGCTCTCAAGAGGTTAGCCTCGCTCCCCCCTCCACCTTGTATCCCCTTATCTTGTCTCTTAACTTCCCAAAGCAGCCATCGCCCTCACTTCATATTTACAATCTATGTGTGCATTGTCTTTCTTCCACATGAGAATTTCATCTCCACGAGAGCAGGAATTTCATCCATTTGGTTTGTGGACCTAGCCCTAGACCTGGACGGGGCGTTTAGTGGGAGTGCGACACAGGCTTTTATGCTGGGTGAGCCTGTCTTGGTTTGGCATCTGTTACTCATCTCTGAGTCTCATGGAAGAAAGCGAGGCTCAGGAAGGCCAAGTAACTTGGCCGAGCTCTCCCAGCTGATCCGGGACGCGAGCCAGGGTGGGGCTGCCTCCCAAGCCTGCAAGCCTCCTCCTTCTACTGTTTCTCTGGCAGATTCATGCCAACCCAAGTATCTCCCATGGAAACACAATTCAACACAACTCAAAGGTGTCCCTGAATATTTTTTGACATCTATATTCCAACCTCCCGTGTGTGCAGTGACCACTATGTTACACACTGAAGTACCACTGCCTTCTCACCTGCACGGTGGTTAGCTTTTGGCTGAATCACTGAATGTTCCCTCCTAAACCTAGAGACCTGTGACATCGGAGGGTCACTGGATGGAGAAACCAGTGGTTTCTTTACTCCCCATGGCAGGCTAGTCACTAAAGAATGGAAGGTGCTCTCTCTCCTCTCACAGCACATCTTGAAGGTTGGGCCCTTCTGTTACCCTGAGACCGTCAGGGGTGGGAGTGGGTTGTACCCTCCAGGGTTCTAAGGCTTGGGAGGACCGGTCTTCCCCATCTGTGGGATGAGTGGGAGTTCGAGACTCAATGTGGAGGCCTCACAGATAGATGGGGCTGCCCAGGGGCCCAGGAGGCCAGCAGACTCCTGGACACCCACACCTAAGAGCAGATTCAAGCCCAGGAAGCAGCAGCTGAGCCATGGGCATCACTAACTGAGCAAAGGCCACTTTCTGCTAAATTTCTGGACCACATGAGCCCTGAGTTGCTGTTAAGTCCCAAGGGAAGAGGAAGTCCCCCACCTGAGGCCTGTGACAGAGATGATTTTCCTGCCAAGCACACTTGTTTAACTGTCCCTTAAACAAGTGGATCATTTTCACTAAATTTTTTTTTGACACCACTATTTCAAGTTCCCATGCATGTAGTAAAGAATATTGCATGTGAATAGTTTAGTCATAGCTCTTCTAAACAGTAAACTATTTGAAATCTATACTCCGAGCAGTACTGAGTGGTTTCTCAGGTTGCTGTCTTAGGGTAGAGCTCTGTTTTCCCACAGATAGTAACTGGTGGGCAGGGGCCCGAGGAGCAAGTGGGGTGGGGGTGGGAGGAACTGCTGTCATTTCCCAATGGTCAGACTCCTTACCCAGGTGGGGTGCGGGACTGTGGGGACCTGTCTGGCACCAGCTGGAGGTTCCCACCAGAATCCAAGCACAGAAAGGGCTTGAGAGATGGTCTAGTCTAAGTCCCTGCTTGATCTATTTTATTTTATTTTTTTGGTGGCTGGCTTGTATGGGGATCTGAACGCTTGACCTTGGTGTTACAAGGCTGTACTCTAACCAGCTGAGCTAACCGGCCAGCCCTAAGCCCCTGCTTAAAAGCTGAGGAACAGAGAAGTTTAGAGGAGTAGGGGGAGGTGGGCTGCGGTCACGTTGGTGCTCCCACCCAGCCCAGAGGCCGCCTGGCTAAGCCCAAGGAGGAACCGCACATTTGTCTGCGTGCCTCCCTTGTTTTCCAGTGTGAGGGATGTGGGGCACCTGTTCACTCCTGGGACTCCTGTCCCAGGTAGATCCCCGATCTTTGGGTTCTAACTGCGCCACGAGCGCCTTTGACTGCTCCCTGGAGGGCGAGCCGGCGGCTTCCCCACCAACCTTAGGACAGGGCACACATCCTCACGTCCTCGCTGGTCTGTCTGTGCTGCCAGCTCTCTCCATTATCTCAGTGCACGACCTAAACAATGGGCTGTTTGGGAACATCTTAGCTCAGTAAGTTTGGGTTTTTCAAAGGTGTTTTTCAAGACTGGATGGTTGAAGTCAAATACCATAGTACCCTTTTAAAATGCTAGTCCGGAATGTAAAATATAAGTGATAGAAATTAATATGTGAATTATGGAAAAAATAACAGGAAAGACATTCAAAAGAAGGAAAGGCTTTTGCATAGCATGATAGACTAATGGAGAAGGCCAACATGATAGACTCCCTACGCCCTTTACCAGGGCTCTGAGCCTGCAGCAATGCACAGCACTCAGACAGTGCAGTGGTTCCCGGGGCTGTTAGCAACCATTGCACTGAACTTCAGCATTTGACAGAGAGTAACACATGAAACTTGTTTCTTTCTTACCCCATACAAATTTCCCCTTCTTTATAAATAGCAAATCTTTTGTTCAAATGTCTTATCTGATTCCGTCACATAGAAGCATCTTCAAACAGCCAGCCTGCGCAGTGAGTGGGTCAGATGGATTGCTACTGCAGATGGATTGCTTAGGCTTGTGATCAGTCAGTGGTGCAGAGGTAAGACACAGCATGGCTGCAGGTGCCAGTCAGGGGGCTGCTGTCAATGGCTGTGCAGCAGCTGCAATAACAATTTATCCACAGTCACAGCGTGAGATCCAGTTATTGGGAATGCAGACCCTGTTCTAAAAACAAGCTCAACACTGGGGAGACTCTCCTGGGTCTTGTGACTGACTTAACCGTGAGGTTGCCCAACACAAGAAAGGCATCACGGTCCTTTCCTTTGTCTAAATGCATCTTGCGCGTCCCTTCTTGGAGCAGGTGGAGGAGGATGGCCCTTGGATTATTCTGATGATCAACGGCATGAAACCAAATACACCCAGAAGCTCAGATCTGGCCAAAATGTCCCATGCATTGACTCTCTGGATGTCTCCATTTGCCCAGAAGATCCACACTCCACCCTTCTCCATGCTGCTCTGTGCCCTGAGGGTGACTGCACAGACCTTGTCAATGAGCTCTCTCCCCTTCTGCCACAACGAGGCCATGTCAGAGCCTGGACAGGAGGAAGAGTGGGTCAGGGTATTTACGTCTCCAGCATCTTCTCTCCCCAGAGCCACAACTCCTGCCAGTGGCTGTCTCCACATGGTTACTCTCACCTTGCCTCATTGCCCTGCCAGGGCTGGTCCCAGGAGTGGCAATGTCCTTTGCTGGCGTCCCTAATCCCTACCCATTCCTTGGCAAAAAGTCCCCTTACGAATCCTCTCATCTCATGGTTCTGGTGTACCCCCTTTTCTTTCCCACCAGGATGCTGACTGTCCATCCACCAGTGTTAGGATCATGCCAACCTACAGGTCCTTCTCTTCTGTCTTCTTCTGAAACACTTGAAAGTGCTTGGCACATTTCACTGGGTCTTGGTCAAGAGCTGAGGTAAGCTGCACACCCTGACAGTGCAGTGCTGGCTGGAGCCCTAAACAGAATGCTCCTGCCTCCTGGGACGTCACACCTAAGAGCATCTCCACAGGCCAGGCCTTTGGAAGTGGAAGCTCCCCTCCAGAGCAGACGGGAAAAGTTGGCTGCAGTGTGAGTCAGAATCACAAGGCCCCATGTCCCAGCCCTGCTGGCTGAGGATACTCCCGCATCCACCGTCAGCCAGGCTGATGGGAGCCTCCATGGGAGGTGCATGCCGGGCCTGAAAGGAAGGGCACAGAGCCTTCTACTGTGTGTCTGAGAGGTCCGGGACATGGGATTCCACAGTATTTATAATGCAAATGATTATGAGTGAAACAGATACTGCTTCGTCTCAGGAAGAAGCTAATCTGCTTTAGACATTTGTTTTGAATTAATTATTTTATCCTTAGGAGCTCCAAAGAAGAGAAGTCTGGCTCGCTGCTTCAGACTCTCCTCCTGGGACGTGCGGGTGGGAGCAGACGTGGAGGGAGGGAGGAGACTGAAGCCAGGTTTGTGCTTCCTCAACCTGGAGGCTGGCAAGGCGTGGAGGGCAGGGCACTGGCTGCACAAGGCTCATCCACTCAGTGCTCGAAAGCGGCACCACAAGGGCGTTCCTCTCACCTTTGCAGGTGAGAAGACTCAGAAAGGTTAAATTACTTGCCCATGTCCACAGGAAGGGATGGGGGTCTCCTCTTTTTCTCTAAATCCCATGGTCTTTCTCATTTTTTGTCCAACAGCCATGGGAGAGTTGGGTGGGGAACAGGAGGAGCCAAGAAGCACAGAGTACTTTTTAGGGGACTGGGACTAGGGAGCAAAGGGAAACCCAAGAGATTTCACAGCAGCGCCGGGTGAGGGCACGGCCGGTCTCTAGCCCAGGAGGCTTGGTGCGAGCATCTAGAATACTATCTGAAGCCGCCTCACATCCAAGAACATGTATCTCTCCTGCTTGTCAAGTGAGTCAGGCCTGCTTGCTCATTCACGGGGCCTCGGGAACATAAGCCTGCTGGCAGGAGCTACTCACCTGCCTGCTCCAAAGCTACCATCGTTGCCTGCTCGATCAAGTCCCGTTCAATGAAGCTCCTGAAGTCCTCACTGTACACGCTCAGGTCTGGCAACTGGAAAGTGTAGATTGGCATCTCCAGGGGAAACTGCTCGTTGTTGCACTCGTTCGCCACGTGGGACCGGGCCAGGGAGACGATGGCTGAGCTGGCGTGGGAGATCCCCCGGGAAAGTCGCTTTTCTGCAGGGAGAGAAGAAAAGACAGTCACAGGGACTGAGTGGGAGTTGGTGTGGCTGTTTGTGCATATGGATACACCTGCAAACACATGTGCACACATGCACACATAATGCGCACACCCCACACAGATACACAGATACACGTGCATGACACATACTTCCATATGCACATACAACCTATACACATGCACACACACACACACACAAGCACACATCTGTGTACACACATGAACACACTGCACACACAACATATGCACACATGCCCACACACATGTACACATACACTCATTATGGACTACATGCACATACGCACACATCATGCACATGCACACAAATGCACACATAATTCACACACCACACACAGACAAATGTGCATGTACACACACCACACATGCACATACATAAACACATATCTGTGTACACGCATGAACACATCACACATTTAACACATGCAGACATATCCACATATGTATGTATACATACTACACACCATATATACACACACTCATATGTACAGATGTATGTGAGTGTACATACTGTACACATACAGTACACACATACATGTACATATATATACTAAATAATACATGTGCAAATGTACTCTAAACTATACACAGGTACACATACATGCACACACATACACTAGACACCTATTTACATAATTCATGTACACATACATAAACTACACACATACACATGAATGTACACAGATGTCACTCGTGCACACTATGCAATATACACATACACTACACACATGCACATGACATACTTCACACACATATGCTACACGATGCGCTGTACACATACATGTTTGTACATACATGCAAACACTGCACACACGCACACAGACACACACACATATACATGTGCACACACATGCACACCCACACACCCATATTCTCTCCACAGCAGCCCTTGTGTCGTATAAACCTTTTCTATCCTGCAGGCCTTCTTGCTGCGGGACTACAATTACCACCACTGGTGTGTGGCACTTTCTCACTCCCACCAAGAAAGCACTGAGAAAGAAGCAAGCTGTAGGTCCACTGCACACGTGCACATCAGCACTGCCAAAGAGCATTGGGCTTGGGGCCGGCCCGGTGGCGCACTGGATAGTGCGCCGCTTGGGAAGCGCGGCGGCGCTCCCGCCCGAGGGTTCGGACCGGGTTCGGATCCCACATACAGACCGGTTCCCGCTCACTGGCTGAGCGAGGCGCGGGAGCAACGCCGAGGGTTGC